CAATTTTCAAAAGACAATCAGACATCAGGGAAAATAGAATGTTGTGCACTAATTTGTCTACTCTGTATTTTTAACACAATATAACAAACATGATCAAAAACTAATTCTAGAGGGAAAAAAAAGGGTCTGAGGTTGCCAGAAATTTGTGATGATCCACTTTCAGAGGCACCACGTATTTAATGGCACCACCAGTGGCAGCTTGTAAGGGTTGCAAAGTTTCCTATTTGTGGGACATACTGTAGGAGGGACTTTAATAGAATTTTCAATTAAAAAAAACTAAACTCTATTGTAACAAACTCTATTGCAAACATAAGGGCTGTCAGAATCAAAATATAGATCACCTTCATTAACTTTTGAAGATGAATCTGATAAAAAAAAAAAAAAAAACTTCAACCCAGAGGATCAGACACGTCAGATAGGCCTCACTGAGTGCAGGGCAGTAAATAGTATGTCTATGCCTTACAAACTGACAAACACAATTAATCATCATGACTAATCATGATTAATCCACAGCTAACAAAAATTCACAGCCCTAGTAAATTAATTTATTTCTTTGCTAACAACACATATGGGGCTGTTTCTTGATAATGTAACTATTTTTGTACCCTGTGTTTTTCATACTGTAACCTCTTTAACAAGGAGAAAAAACTATTTAAGTTTAAAAAACACAATCCTTTCCTTTATGTTAAGTTTCTGCACATTATTAGGGTGAGGTTAGGTATGTCAGGCCAAAGCGTCAGCACAGAAACTTTATGCCTTGTAAAAACAAAAATCCATTAAGTCCTAAGGCTGTACATCTGTGCTTAAGTGGGATTTTACAGCGATAATGAATACCCTGGCCTTTCTCTGAGCAGAAAGGAGCACTGACTGCAACAATTGTTTTGCAAGTTCAAATTGCATCATGTTGACTTTCACACCACCAAAACTCTAATGAGAGAATAAGTATTAACAACTTAAAGTAACATCCAGTGCTGTATTTGTGTAAGCTGCCTCTATTCAGATACTAATGATTTGCTTGTTAGAGTAATTACCGCTGTGAGACCATACCGGAACATCTGCATTGATTCAGAGTCTGGGAGAGTAGGGAGAAGGAGGGAGGGACTGGCAATCTGGAATTTCACTGCGAGAGCGAGACAACAATCTGTTGATGGTTATTTTGGTAATTGTCCTTAATTGATGTAAATCAGGAAGAGTTGCACAAGATTTTAAATAACAGTTTTCTGTAGCGTGCGGGGGTCACTGAAAATGGGCAGGTGCGATGAGGAATGCATATACAGCATCTAATAATGTGAGCCTGAACAGACAGTGGACAGCTGGTGGGAGAAAACGAGTAAAAACCCACACAGTTTACACTGAGCTGCTGCATTAAATTGTTATCAGTTGTCAAAAGTAGTGATGTGGTACAAACAGGTAAATAAAAGTTGTAATACCTGACATGAAAAAAAAGTATGAATAATTTAAGTTGTGTTACTTATTAAAGCCCAGTCACACTGTGCAGAGTTTTCACAACTGTACCAGAAACTCATAGTACTGACAATCACTTCAGGAAAATAAACACTAAATCTAAATGTTTCAATATATACCATGAGTTCTCTTGCAAAAACTTACATGAAGTCCATATTTCCTCTTCCTAGTCCATTGGACAAAATACGGTAGTTTAATTGGCTGCAAATAATTTAAAACTGGCAAGAACTAAAACATGGCAAATCTTCAAATCGAAAAAACAAAACAAAACAAAAAGAAACTGTAAGTTTCATCCCTGTAAAGGTTCATACTTAACCAGTAAACCTCAGTTAAAGTTCCGGTCCTGGGCCATTTGTTAAACCAAATAATACAATAATTTGTGTTAAATTTAAAATATTCAATTATTTTTGACTCATGAGTCCTGATTTATTTCCTAAAGCAGACTCTAACGACTCTGTTATTGTCCATCAATATTTTATTCTTCTCTCCATCTGCTGATAAGTTTTTATCACAGCTAGAAAAAACTTTTAGGGCAGGTTTGTCAGAGAGAAACCTTAACTTCTTCAAGTCAACATAAAATTGCAAACTAATGTATTCTGTTCTAAACACAAACACAGACTTGACAAAACTCCGAAAAAAACAACAAAGAAGCAAAAAAAATATTTCTGTCTAAAATTTTGTTTTTGTCAGAAACACAGACAAGAACATTACTGCAGCAACACATTTACCTGTTTATAGATATTAGCTCTGTGGGTAACCTTGTTTTTCTTTCTTTTCTATTTTTTTTTTTTACAATGATCTTCACATATTTTCTTAAATATGCAGCAAAATACATGGCAAATATCATGACCTTGAAAGAAAGTAAAAATGAATTGACAAACAGAAAAACAAAACTACTGTAGTTAACACTCACTTTATCAGGTCCAAGCCCCAATTATGTAATGGGTTCTTCTTTGGGAAATAACCCAACGTCCCAACAAATTTTAAGACAATTCCATCAGTAGTTTATGCATAATTCTGCTAATAACTACAATGACTGACAAACATAGAAATAGCACCAAAACATAACCTCTGTGGCAGAGGTTATGGAATGATTTTTTAATAGTAGTAGTAGTAGTAGGAAAGCTAACAAGGCACTTTATTTCAGGAATATCAATAAAACATGTTTTGGCAAAATGAAATAGAAAAAAAAGTGCACACCATTTGCACATAAGCAAATGTGACCTCTGATATTAACCCGTCACCAAAGTGAACAGCAAGCTGCGCGGGGAGCAGTGTGTCGAACCTGAAACCTTCTGGAGCTAAGTCCACTTCCTTAACCACTAAACCACTAACAATGTGTTACAGAGGAGACACTAGAGTCTGTTTTTGGCCGCTACTGTAAGAAACTTTAGAGAAAGCATTGGTGTAAATTAAAATCTATGTTTTTGTCCAGTGTGCCCTCACTCACATTAGACATGTCTAAAGGCTTTATGACTGTAGTTAAACAATACACATTAGACCAGGTTACCAACCTCTATTGGCTTGTGACCCCATTTCCACATCACAAATTTCAGGCAAACATCTACTGTACAAACTAGTATTCAAGTGTATTAGAGGGAGGCAGGAAACCAAGAACCGAAACCGGGGATTGAAATGGACACACACAAAAAAAAGATATAAATTAATTTCTTTCACTTCAGTGCCTGCATTCCCTATGAATACAAGCTGACCTTCATTGCTGCAAAAGTCACAAATGCATTGAGAGAGGAACTGACAATTTTTTTCTTTCCTAAGGTCATGTGATGTCACCTGGTCAAATTAAACACCTCCCACTATGGGTTGGCATCACTCAAAAGGCTCATTAACCCCATCTGACCAACCACACGTCACAATCGCAAAAACATCACGTCAAATTGGCCAATCCCTTCATAATCAGCACAGCTCAACGCCCACACAAGTGACAGTCAATTGAAAAGCTGGAGTGAATGTGATCTGTCTGAGCTCTCCAAAGATATTTGTTTATTCACAGGCCGTCACATGGCCAGACTAACTCTATGGGCTGAAGAAGGGGAAGCAAAGGTGAAGCCTGCTGCAATTTCATGAAGTTGGAAGCACCGTTTTTAGGGGGGTGGAGGGGTGGACGGGGGTCATTGACTCATTTGAGTAATATAGTATAATCAAAGAACGTTCTGGATGCATCAATCATCTATTTGGTGCAACCCAGACGAACAACATTAAAGGCCAGGATTTATGACTATTGTTTTACTAACATTTGTATTTCAGATACATCACATTGAATGAGGTTTTTAGAAAAGAATATAAGAAGTATAGTATTTCACTGCGTGCGACTGAGTGTCTTTAAGTGCATGTTTTTTGTTTTTTGTTTTTGTTAAGAACCCTGTCTTAATCTACTCAGTTGATCTCTTGTTTCTACCGGGATTATAAAAACCACCAAATATTTGAGGCAGTCAACAATACTACATGCATTTTTGGCATAAGAAAGCAATAATGTGGAAATGCACACAAACGGAGGGATAAAAAAGAGAGAAATATGAAGAGAAATAAGGGGATTGAGCCGTGCCCATTTTCGGGGGTGTAAAATATGGAGAAGTGTGGATCATTGGGGGAGCTGCTCTGCCTGGGGGAACAGATGAAGGGAGGACACTCTGCCAAGATCTCTCCACTGGAGGGGGAGCTGAGGGACTGGAGCTCCATGGGAGAAAGTGTGTGTGCCATTGTGTGCATGTGTGTGTGTGTGTGTGTGTGTCACATGCTGATTCCTTCAATCTCAGTCTCAGATGCCTGCATTGACACGTCGCAGGCTCTGTGCAGCAGAGGGAAATTGCTGCTGACAGGGCCTTGCAAACTTTCACAGCCATTTAGAAAGCGACTTCCACCCACAATTTTGTCGCAGGCATTTATTGCACAAGGAAAAATTTACATTTTCTGAACCTGGCATCTTTTCTTTAGCACATTGAGCTTAAAAACCATTCATAATTTTTCAGCCTTGCAACCAGAGCCCCGGTGCAGATGTAAACACCACACATGCCAAGTGAGTCCCTGAGATTATGAAAATGCACAAAATTCAAGGGAAGATAAAATATAAATCACTGCTTCATGCAGACAAATCAAATGCAATCCAGAGCCAATAAAAACATAGCCTGCTCCTGTCACCACAACTTACGCTTGAACTTCATTCCAAAATATTTATGCTAATAATATGTTAGAGACCAAAACTTCAAACTGGTGTTAAAATTTGTTTAAACGACACTCATTCACATTCACTTTGCAACTGATCAAGAATTTAACAGGCATCAATTCATATGAACTTGAGCGAAAACACAAAGACTGCTGGCCTATATGTAAATACATATGAGTATTCAGTATTGGGGGAAGCAAGACAACATTTTGGAGGAGTACATATTTTTAAATAATGATAAATTAATATATATATATATATATATATATATATAATATGTTTTTTAGTGATTTCACCCACTATCTCACCGCCAGGTCTAATGAAGAGCAACGTACTGTGTGATTCATCACTGTACCTGGATGTCAGTGACCAGCCAGTGCCTCCAATAAGCTGCTTTTGGATTGCTGCGGCTAGGAGCATCAGGATCGACCATCACCAACACATACGTCTTGTTCTAGAAATAAAAGCAGATTAACATACCATTTAATTTAATGCCAGAATAGAAAGCTCTACGTGAGTAACAGACCCAGAGGCATCAGAACTACTTGATCAGTTTCTCTTTTCAAATACAGCCGTGGTCCGTTTTGCCCAAGGCTCTACATTCATCTCTAGAGTTAATACTTAGTATGAATACATCAAAAGAGAGTCTTCACTATACTGTTGAAGCTTTTACCTATTTTACACAAAATGCTGTAAAACCATATGTGGCAGGCATTCCATGAATGCTGTGGTTCTTATTCAAGTTAAAAAAAACACATTTCTTTAACCTTTATTTGTCCAGGAATAATCCCATTGAGATTCAAAGTCTCTATTGGTGAGGGGTCTTGGCCAAGACAGCAGCATTAGATTTGCTGGAGGAATAAATACTGGAGCAGTAAAGAACAAAACAGGAAAGGAGACTAAATAACAGATGTGTCTAACGGTTATACAGTGATTTCACAAACAAACAAACACACATATAGATATATAATTCTGTTGAAAGACATCCAAATAAAACCAGCAAAATATTACACATTGTTATTATTGTGTTGTTATTTCTTCACTAATAAAAATGTTAGCTATTAGCATATACTGTATATATATATAAACATATCTGTATTATTTATCTGTATCAATACAACTATTGCATTATTTTGTTTAAAGCTCTGTTTTATAAAGATAGTGAAGTCCTGTCGCTCCTCTCCATCATTGCCTTAACTTCATATAATTACTGTCACACTCGCAAAAGTGACAGGCGTTTGGATCTGGTTCTTATCCCTTTCCTTAACATATTCACAGTAACTTTCTGCCACTTACCAAATATCTTTATACCCCCTCAATCTGTCAACAGATAAAGTGAGAGAAAAGAAGCATCTTAACTAACACTTGATCACAGTTTTTTTCTGATGTTGACTTGGCGGCTTAATTGCCAGGAAATGTTCATTCTGTCTGTCCCTAAAAGTTAGAGAATTATGAGAGCAGATTGAATTATTGCTGGAGCACATTTGTCATCCCTGGGCCTGTGCCCAAAATCTGCCAGACCATATGATGAGATTTTTTTTATTTTGTTCACTTCCTCTACAAACAGAGACATTAAACAGAGGCTTGTCTGAGTCTACAGTGTCCTCTTACTCCATGTACATAGAGCTGATGGATGGCCATAATGTTATCAGCTTAAATATGCATAAAACAGATGTAGCATTTCTTTACATCGTTGAATGCTAAATGCGTGTGCCACACGTGTGGTGGTAAATTATTATACGGCTATAAGTCGACACAAATCTTACATATCAGTTTGTTGACTCCTAACACGACTTAGTCAAAGACCTCTGAAGAAATAGGCTGATGTACTTGCCTGAGATAAAATTGTGATATTTTTCCTGCAGATCCTTTTCAGAAAGGATTCTCTGCCTACCTGACAGGCGGTAATAGGCATATACAAGTAATCCTAATAATAGGATAATACGGTAGTCTCACTGATAGTGCCTGCAGGTAACATGCAGACACATCAGCAACAATGGAGCCTCCTCCACAGCCTGTCAAAAGTGACTGTGTATCGGTGACCCCCCCCAGGCAGCTTACCAACCATGACCTGTTGCCTTCTCAAGACTTGTAATCCTCATTTGTACGTGTTTGCTACCAGGCAAAGTCAGACTCTAATGCGTTGAAAAAATAACACACACACATGCACCCATGCACACAAATGAAGTTCCTAATGTAAAAATGACCTCCAGCCACAATTATCACTGAATGAAGCATCACTTTATTTAGTATTTTCACTAAATTACCATGAAAACAGAGACACTGCAGGACAAGCTTTCCTGAAGATAAACATTAAGGCAATTTTCACATTTGATTCCGACAAAAACCATGGCCTATTTATAGCCAGGGAATCAATTTCATTTTTTTTCTTTTTTTAACTGCACATGCATAATTTCACTGTTCCAATCTCTACCTGTAAGAATGTGGCTGGTCCAGCTGGCACGGGCAGCAAGGAATACACCAAGCTCCCTCCGTGCTTGCACTTCACACATTGTGCCATCATGTATCCTTCTCTCTTATAAGAACATTTTTCTCTCCATCTGTCAAAATCCACATTAATTACACAGATATGTGTGAAAGACTCCAGGGAAAAACAGATGCATATTCTGCCACCAGCCCTCCAATAATCTAAATGTATATCAAAGTGGTGCTAATTCTCAGAGCTGGATACTGTGAAGAGAAAGGTTTTCCAACAATTTATAGTCCTACCATATTAATGTTAATTAGATCCACCGAGGGGGGTTATTTGGTGTTTTTGGCTATGTTTGTCTGTGAGCAGCAATGAGAATAAAGAAAATATTTTAGATAAAAACAAAACAATGTACTGTACAGTAGTCCCTCGCTATATCGCGGTTCATCTTTCACGACTTGAAAACTGGACATATAAAATATACTGTATGCCGGATTTTGATCTGTAAGAGATGTCACAGGAATGGGACAACGATATGGTTCGATCGGTCCAATTTTGCAACAAAATCGTCAACGTCGTGACTGCCTACAAGCTACTCTTCGACTGGAAAACGAAGCAGTGGAAGCAAATGCCGATCACAATGTTTTTGCAGCCTCGCAAAAAACCCCAAGTTTGCCCCAAGAAATGGCACCACCCTCTGAAGAGACATAAAATCAATCATTGGCTGCGCAGTAAAAGTTATCATCACCTTCCTCATGATCATTTCACCGGATAAATATGGTGTCACTACTTCGCGGAAAATCAGCAGCAAGCCTTGGAACCTATCTACCGTGATAAACAGTATCATACAGTAGTAGGGACTACTGTATATGTAACAGCACAGCCATGGACCAGGTCAATGCACAGTCAGAGCTCCTCATCAACTTTAATAGTAGTGTGAGTAGTACATTTTTGTTTGTCTACGTAGCAATGAGAGGGCAGCCCCATTACAAATGATTGTTTCTTGTGTCCCATTAGAAGTGAGATTTATTTTTAAACAATTTTATTTTAGTTTATGTCTGAATATTTTACCTAAAGTAAATAGAAAAATCCAGCATCACTTTATTACAAAATACTTTTCACTACCCCTCAGTACTCAGTTTACTCAGATTACTAATGTTACCGCACAGATGAGAGGTAAGCTGTCTGTTCCATTATTCTCTGTAATGGCAGATAAACGATCCTTAAAAATGCCATAGTAACCTGAAATCTAACACCAGAGGTGAAATCTGGGAAGGTGTCGGCCACCGACCACAAAGGCTCATCAGGCCATTATACAGGAGTGGATGTGAGGCTCCTGGGTGCAGGATGAAGGCGTGGGGATATTGAGTCTGCGTTCTCTTGAGATTAACCTCCCACTGCCTGCTGTGATCACAGCAAAACGGCCCATTGGGACTGTAACAGACACCATGTGGCTGAAAATACAAACTGCAGCACTGGAAGTCTCTGTTAGGGCCATTGAAGCACAGAGGAGAGAAGGCCCAATTTATTGATTCGTTTGAGTTTGTTTTAATATTGCTTTTTAAAAGAAACCATGATAGTTCCACTCCATTTTGGTCTGTTTGCAAAAATGAAGAGTGTAAAGAACAAAGGCAGGAGGCCTCTGAGGAGGTAAACCATCACCTTACCTTTGATTGAACTCTGCTGGGGCTGAGAATCAGAGAGATGTCTAATCGCTGCTCCTCCAGAGCTGCTCAGGCTATTGAGCCCAGCTCTGCTGGCTGATGACACCGTGCAGGGTGAGAGTGAGTTAGCCAGAGGAAAGGAGGGAGTGGGGAAAGGAGGTGAGAGAGAGGCCCCACTGTGAGTTTACAAGTTCACACTTTATCCCTGAACCACTTCCAAACAGTGTCGTTCATATGGCTGCCTATTTATACACTCGTTGCTTTATCCTCTCTGTTCTTCATCTCTGTCTGCCGTTGCACACACGTTTCATGAAATGGACAACGGTGCTCATTGCTAGATCCAGAGCAAAGCAAGGCATCGATCCCTGTTAAAGTAGCAAAAATACTTGAACCCGCTTGGTAATTAACAGGTATCTGTGTTGAGATTAGGAGACAGCGATGGCTTAACAACCATCGATTGCAGCTTACAGCAAGGTTAAATGATCAGCCTGCAAATAAAGAGAAAATCTAAAAATACATTTGTTTTTTCTCTTTGAAAGAAAAAATCAGCTGATGAAAAATTTCAAGTTGTTACGACCGCAGTTTGGTAATAAGTAGCACATAAAGCTAACTTTTACCCATAACAAAAAAAATCTTTTACATGCACAATGGCAGACGGAGGTCTGGGTCCCTGCAGGATCAGTCTTAGCAGGAAGTCTAGACTTTTCTTAATTTAACTGGTACCAATACCACCAACTCCCCTGGGAGGGGGGATACTCTGAAGCTACCTGAGACATGTCCTATGTGAGTCTACAATGTCTCTCAAACAGGGTATTCACTTTACATGATGCATATATACCCTCAACTAATTCCTGACACACTTGAGAAGATTGTACTAGATCCACCTTCTAGGACCAATTCTGAGCATGGCCACATGGTGGAGAAAACGTTTTTGGACTGTGTTGTATAGTCTTAACTCTGAAGTGATCTTGAGCTCTGACTGTTTTTATATTTCTTCTCTAGAAAAATATTTTACTCTTTGCTCTACTTTGTCTAAAACAAATGAGCAGCTTTCACAATCAACACCTTTAGTTTGAAACTGCTCCAGGGCTACAGCTATAGCGTCCCTTCCCTTCACAGTGTGTATTGAGTGAGTATCAGGGGGATTCATAGAATAAAGGTATTTGAACTTTTATACCATGTGCAGGGTAATGAGAGGGGATCGAGAAAAGGGGTCATGGGGGCAGCAAAGTGATGAGGAAGGTTAACAGTGGAACCAACGTCAGGGTCATGAGATGAGCTCCATCCAGCTGAAGGAAGAAGGTCAGGGGTCAACCATGCAGCAGTAATTGAATCCTGACCAGAGTGTTTCAGACTGTA